ACACACCATGATCTCCCCGCTCCCCCCGCTTTTGGCACGTGACAGCAAAAAGGTTAGCCATCACTGGCCTAGGCCATATGCTTGACAGAGTTTAGTTTCTCAAACATTCTACTAGTTTTTAATATAGTATAGAAAGCCAGGGAGACAACTTAAGAGAAGGAATCCAGAGGCTGTTAGGGAAACACCAGGTGCAAAAAAAAAAGATGTGTTATTCAGAGAGGTGAGAGTTACAGAGAAACACAGGCCAGCCCCTCCCACCCCAAATTCCCTGGATATGAGGTGAAAAGGGAAGTCATAGATTTGCAGATTCTATTATTGTAAAGCTATCTCAATGAGGTATAGTTCTAATGTTGCTGTGGAATGAGCTGGCTACCAAGGGTTGACTTATTGTACTAGCAAAATCATAAAATTAATGAAATGCTACTGATAGCTGCTGTAACAGCAAAACAGCTCTTTATGAGCACAGCATTAGATAAAAGATATCCTAGAAGTCTATCAAACAAACATAGCTGCTCAAAGAACTAGACTATTCTCTATTCTCATTTTTACTTTACATGTGATTAATTCCAATTTGAAAATTCATACCCAAGCATCTCCAATCAATTATCTTTCAGAATATATTACCCAGTACTAAAATCACCATTGGAATATAGATTTAATTATTCAATTTGTCTTTGTTCTAAATTTCTCAGAAAAATACTTTCAACGACTTATTTTTCTTGATATTCTAGAATTCTCTAAACTCCATTTCTAATCAATACTATCTTGAAAGGTTGCAGTTACTGGTATCATTATGACAGTTTTTTAAAAGAAGGATAATGAAAAAGGCACTTATTTGGGGCTAATATTCATGAAATGTAATGTATCAGAGGAAAGTTCATTACAATCACTATGTTTTCCTTCTATTGTATGCTCTAGTGTCCCTAGGAAGCATCAGAACACATAATCTATACATTATTCTTCTAAATGAAGAAAAATGTGGCAAAACTGGATAATGGAGAAATTAATAAAGCATAATCAGGATCTAATATACTAAAAAACTACAAGCACATTCTTATCCATTAACCACACTGAAAAGAATAAAATACAATGTGTCCAGTTAAACTTATAAACTGCACACACAGACCCTGACAAATATAAGTAACGTGTGTGCTGAAAAAAGGAAAGCAGATCACTCAAATCAGAGCTGAACAAATCTAAGAAAATAGAAAAATAATCCTATACATTTTTATTCAAAATTAAATACTATAGTATTCAATAAAGCTCACATCCTATGGCTTCAGTACTGTTACCCTCTTTGATTGAAAATTCTCTTCAGAAACTATGCAGAAGTGCCGTTCTTACTTTCAGAAATGTGTGAAAAATTATGTGATCTCTTATTTACTATTTCTTTTACTCTATTTTTAAATATTTATCTAGGTTGGCATTTTTCATTTTTCAATTATACTCATGGCTATCCAAACTCAGGTTTGAATTTATCTATTAAAAGAAATACAATCAAACCCAGGATTGGGAATTCATGGTTCTCCAGGACCCTTCAAATCTGTACATTTCAAGTGCAATAAATTCCCATTATGTTACAGATTTACATGAGAAATAAAGCCTTATGACAGAGCTGAACTGTTTTAAAAAAATAATTAACATTCTTATCCATACATTTCTATAGACTAGAATATTCTAGAAAGTTTACTGGGAAAGGGGAAGAACATTGAGAAGTAAATAAATACTGTTTTCACGCATGCTGAATTAATAGAATAAAAGATAAAAATAGCCTACTTTAATTGTTAATTTTTCACTTTTGCAAATAGTTTAAATATTCAAAAAATAACAGACAGTGACTTAGAAAACAACAGCATAGGGTTGTCAAGTCATGTCAGACCAATATTTTTTCTTTTTATGGCGATAAAAGTTTGTTAAGAAAAGAAGTGTTGTAAATGGATTGCACCATGACATTAGTAAAGCATTTAACAAGATTTTTAATTATATCCTTAAGAACAAGATGTTGGTTAGATAATAATCTGGACCAACCAGTTGTACAACCCACCCAAAAGAGAATTTCTAAATTGTCCTGATTGGAACTACTGAGTGAGATCCCTCAGGGTCTTCACCCAGCGCTGTTCAATGTCTTCCTAAATGACCTAAAAGTTGATACTGAAGGAATGTTTATTACATTTGCTAATGATACCAAGACAGAAGATGGCTAATCATGATACAGAATAATCTTAGTATGCTTAAACATTGAGTCATATCTGGTAGGGGAAATATTAAGAAAAGTTTGAGGTCCTAATCTTGGTGGGAAACATTAAATAAAAAGGTACAAGGTTGGGAAGACCTGATTTGAAAGCAGAGCACCTTGGAACACTAGAATTAAACTTCAGCAATCAGTATAATGTAACAGCTAACACAAGTGATATTTTTATTTTATTTTTTATTTTATTTTGAATTTGTATACCGCCCTTCTCCCTGAGGACTCAGGGCGGTGAACAGCCAAATAAAAACATCAAATACAAATATTAAAATACAGTTAAAAAAATATATAGATTTGGCCCCATTAATTAAAACGATAAACAAAACAATTAAAAACACTTAAAAAGAATTAGGCCAGCCCGGCTTGTTGGAAAAAGAAGGTTTTAAGGGCACGGCGGAAGGCACTGAGGTCATGGATTCTCCTTATCTCTGGGGGCAATTGATTCCAGAGGGTGGGTGCCCCCACAGAGAAGGCCCTCCCCCTGGGGTCACCTGCCTGCATTGTTTGGCTGATGGCACCCCGAGGCGGCCCTCTCTGTGGGAGCGCACGGGTCGATGGGAGGTCGTCAGTGGCAGTAGGCGGTCTCGAAGATAGCTAGGCCCTATGCCATGGAGCGCTTTAAAGGTGATAACCAACACCTTGAAGCGCACCCGGAAGACCACCGGGAACCAGTGCAGTTCACGCAGGAGCGGTGTTACATGGGAGCGCCACGCTGCTCCCGTCACTACCCGCGCTGCTGCGTTCTGGACCAGTTGGAGCCTCCGGGTACTCTTCAAGGGGAGCCCCATGTAGAGAGCGTTGCAGTAATCAAGGCGAGAGGTTATGAGGGCATGAGTGACTGTGCACAGGGAATCCCGATCAAGAAAGGGCCGCAACTGGCGGATCAGGCGAACCTGACAAAAGGTCCCCCTGGTTACAGCTGTCAGATGTTCCTCCAAGGACAGCTGCGTATCCAGGAGGACTCCCAGATTGCGAGCCCTCTCTGTGGGGGCCAAAGACTCGCCCCCAATAGTCAGTGATGGACTATATGACACTGGGCTATATTAACAGAAGCATTTCATCCATCTATTAGGAAGTAATAATTCCATTGCACTCTGATAGTAATGCTTTGGTCATTTCTGGCCACTACACTTGGCACTGCATTTTAATGGGATTTAGACAACCTGAATCAGGTTCAGGGGAGAAGCAGCATGATGATAAGAGGTCTGAAACTAAGCCCAAGAAAGAAGGGTTAAAGGAACTGGGCAGGTTTACCTTGCAAACAAAAGATGACAAATTATCTATAACAGTATTGTTCAACCCTGGCCATTTTAAGATGTGTGGACTTCAATTCCCAGAATACCACAGCTAGCATGCTAGGACTGATCTATAAGGCATTGAAAACTAGACTACTTTTCTATTAAAAGTGACAAGAGGATAAGGACCAACAGGTTGAAATTAAAAGAAAGAAGGTGCATGTTAAATATTAGGCGAAAACAGTTTAGATAGTAAGCGATATTAAGCAATAGAAAGATTTCAGCCACCTGTCAGAAACTATTTAAAGAACTGAGGAGGAATTGAAGAAAATTACTTTTAAGATTTGAACTCACATATATATTTCTATCAGTTAATTATTAAAACTATGTAATTTCTATAAAAAAAAACCCTGACACTCAGGAGCTCACAAATAATAAATATTGGATTTGTTTAAACTTAAAGATCTAAGGATATAGTAAAAATTATTCTTAAACACTTTATTTGGGGGCGGGGAGTGCAGATATTTGCCATAATTACAAGGAGAGTAGATGGATGTCACAAGCCCAAATCAAAACTGTGAATGCATATCACTTCATACATTGAATTAGATTATGTAAATTCTTTAACTGATTCTTCCCCAAATCCATTGTAGCTGGGAATGCTGTATTGCATGGGAATGCTGTAGTCCTCCACTCCACGCACCTAAAGTGCAAACTGGGTAAAATATGCCATTTTATCAGCAAACACAATATTTGCCAAATTTACAAAAGTTGGGTCAGGAAGGCATAGCTGTCAGTCAACAGTAGCAAAAAAATGGAACAGGGGAATACAAAAGGCGAAAATGCAAACAAACAATACGAAAACGATGCCCTAAGAGTCCTGTAAAGAGGCACCTTGGCTGTATTAGAGGAGCAAAATAAGTAGATTAAGTAGGACGGCAAGTGTTGTTTGGGGGTGCCTGCCACGTCTTCTGGCAGGCTTCTTTAGATGTGGGAACCCCCCCCCCCTCCTAAAGGAAGACACTATAAAGAGAAACCCCAAACTTTCAGGCGATTAAGTAAGCGCCCTGTGAAGGGGCGAGAGAGCCATCTGCCCCGAGCAAAGGGTAAGCGGGGACGAGCTTCCCTTCTTTCCCTTCGAGGTCTCAAGGCTCGACCTCCCTCAGACTTACGAGAGACGCGCAAGTCACTAGGAAGGGAGTTCCTATCGGAGGCAAAAAAAAAATATTTAATTTTTTATTACTCCGTTTAAATCCCGCCTTTCTCTTAATTCCAACCCTCAGGGGCTCCCAACCTTTGTCTGCCCCCTCCAGGAGGGGGATTCCCTTCGCCTCCTCCTCCTCCTCCTCTTCCACCACCATCCCTCAGGAAGCCCAGCAGAGATAACGCACCTCCGAACTGCTCCTTCCTCAAAGGAGGGTGCCTCATAATGCCCACCCACGGGCCCAGGAAGAAGGTAGCCCGGCCTTTAGCGGCCCAACGATGGGGGGAAAGACGCAACCCGGCGCCTCGCTCACCTCCGAAAGCGGCGGCAACAACAACAGCAGGCGCCGCCGGGCCTGCATGGCGAAGAGGTTCCTCCCGGGGCCGCCGAGCCCTTCTTCTCTCCCGAGCGGGGCCTTGCGCTAAAAACGAGCGCCAGAAAGGCCGACGCGGAGCCCGCCCGTCCCTCAATTCCCAACCGCGAGGGCCGCTGGCGGCCAGCGGGCTTCGCTGACTTTAAGCTTATTCGGAGGCTACCTCAGCAAACCGGTAACCAGCGCCCCCTGCCAGGTTCCAGGGGCGGTGCACGGCACTGCGGCACGAGCCCAGCGCCTGACCGGCCTCCTCAGGCCACCGGCGCACGGCTGCGTGGTAGAGCGACGCCGCGGATGAGATGGCGAAATTGCGCGTCCTCCGCTCGCTCGGCTCCCTCGTATTCCCCGATGGACTTCCTCCGCGAAGGTGGCGAGCCCCGCACGCGGCGGGCATTTTTATCTGTGAGGATTTCTGAGCCGGGAATGTTATTGCACCAACTCACAGGCGTCTGAGAAAGGGTCGGGAGAGGGCACTTTTTCTACACACACACACACACACAAAAGACAACTTGCTCTGTTCTGGGGGTAGGTCTACCACACCTGGGACGACATATATTTTTCGGTGACTTTAAGAAGGCAGAAAGAATTGGTTTTGAATGCTAGTAAGTTCGGGTTGGTAGTTGGGCTGAGCTCCGAGCTTGGCAATTTGGTTGCAACCAAAATTGCCAAGCTCAGTACTCAAAGCAACAGCCCAGAAATTGGTTTTCTGTGTCCTTTTGCTGCCCTCTAATGTTCGTCGGGTTTGTTTGTTTTTTGCAGGCACTCCAGATTTTGTGGTCTTCATAGCTGTTATCATCTATGCATTCTGCATATTTTCTTCTGAGTTTAGCGTTTAAATTAGCTTTCCCTGTGACTCTCTCTCTCTCTCTCTCTCTCTCTCTCTCTCTCCAAGCATGTGTCTACCTTGTATAGATAGTCCTTACAGCCACAACTGGGATTTCCATTGCTAAGCAATATATTGAGTCGGGCTTGGTTTTACAACTTTTTTGCCACAGTTAAGCAAAACGCCTCATTGTTAAATGAATCTGGCTTCCCGATTGACCCTGCTTGCAGAAGCCAGCTGGGATGGTTGCAAAGGGCAATCGAGTGAACCCTGGGATGCTGCAACCATTGTAAATACATGTCAGTTGCCAGGCACCCAAATTGTGATCGTGTGACCATGGGGGATGCTGCAATAGTCACTTTTTTCAGCATGTCATAACTTCAAACTGTCATTAAACAAATGGTTAAGGACTACCTGTAATTTTTGCCCTGACAAATATGTTGTCTTCCAAGTATCTGACTTTTTTGAAATTTTGGTAACTGATATATCCTTTTATTTTTTATTCAAATTTCACATATTTCAAGTCAGTACTCGACGGTAGCTACTCTTTAATTTAACAGTGAGTAGGGAAAGGATCTACGTAAAAACAATTTCTGGAATAGCCATCAAAAGCCAAACTATTGAGGTGCCTTGCAAACTAATACATTACAAAGTGTTTTCTTAGATCTCAGCCACCAGATACATAAATAGTTATGAGAAAGAAGTATAGAGTATGCTTTATCCTATATATTGCAATTTGTTAGGGTGAAAGCCGTAGTGAGACAGAATTACCTACAGGAAGTGATAACTAAGAAAACAATGATTAAGACAATTACAAAAGTCTTGGTGAAAAGTCATAGGATGGCTGATTAACCCCATTAGTGTAATAAGCAGTTTTGTCTCAATCTGTGAGAAAAGGCATTACATCTGACAAAACATGGCTCGGATTCACAATGAAATGTGCCTTTGTGATTTCTTTTGTCAAGGAAAGCCACCCTAAGGTCACAGAAGATTCTAGTGAGTTAAAATGTTCCCTGCTGACTTTAGGCTACTATTTCTGATATCAGATTATGTCAATTTGTGTTATTATGTAGAGACTGGCTTGTTTCTGCTGATGGAGGATGGCCACATTGGAGGAGCAAGTGTTTCCTGGTGATGTGGTGATACAAGTGCTACAAGAGTATTGGGAAAGCAAATATATTTAGACAGGATCTGGTTTTTGTTATCTGCATCATTGAGGTTGGTTTGTTGCTACTAGTTACTAGCTGCTTTAAAATAATTATGGAATATATTCTAAAGTTCTATTACCGCCTTCTTCAGGCAGGTGGAATAGTGGTCCCACTGTTTAAAATAGTTTGGTGACAATATAGGTTTTGATTTTATTATATATATATATATATGGCTGCCCAACTCACTGCAATTCTGGGCAGCTTACAATAACCAAAGATAAACAAAGAGATCAACAGTTCTATTCAAATAAAAGCAAACCCTTCATAGGTAATCCTGAAATTGTAATTGCCCTCCTCATACTATATAAATGCATATTAACTTGAAAGTAAATCCCCTGCATTTAATGGAATTTAAACCTAATTAAAGTTGCAAAGGAATGCACATTCAGCAATGCTTAGGAGCTGGGATCCTGTGTTTGCTCTTACAAAAAGGATTTTATAGAACATTTAAAGATTTAATGTTTCTAATATTTTGGATTTTATTATTCTGATGTGCTACTGGAAATTGTAGAGCTGCTTTAAGTGGCGATGTACAAAAAATTATAATATAATATATTATAATATATATATAATATAGTTTAATAGCACATTCCTAAACCTATTTACTCAACTACTGTGAACATTGTTCCCTTGGTAGGTGGCATAACTAATATTCCCAATAAATATCCCCTCATACTAACTGCAGATATATGGCTGCTCCACACTTCCTACTTTTTCTAGCACAAGGACAAGGCATCTACCATTTTAGGTTGCAGGAACAGATGGTTGTTACACAGAAAGCAAATAGTTTATTTTCAGATTGAGAGATTTCAATAAAGCACTATTTTCTGGTTTATAGCTGATCCTAGTAAATGGGACTAATTAACAGTCGAATTAATTTCTTTTAAAAAATAATAAGAGAATGCACATCTTTCAGTAAGTGAAATTTTGATTATCAGGGAAATCTAAAATCAGAAGATATAAGCTTGGATCAGATGTTTTTCTATGTTTGTTATGATACCATCATATAAGTTAATACTTTTCTTAAGCAGGATGTTTATAATTCAGACAACCGGGGAAAGGAATAAAATTAGGGTTCTCAATATAGACATGGGCAGTGGAAAGCTGCATTTGGCTGCATTAAAAGTTCTGGAAAAAACAAGCTGCCAATTAAGTATCACCCAATTAAAAGTAGTAAGCAACCTAGTAAACATTCTCTTCCTTCACATTTCCATCTAGTTGCCCATATTAGTATTTGTAGTGTCATCAAGCATCCCTATACCATGAGAAATATAGTCAGCAAATCAGACATTCTCTACTTTTCACAGCAGACTTGTTCACACATACTAAGTGATAATGAATTTTGACTGGTTTTAACCTAATGCAAGAACAAACCTATTTGTTATCTTTAGTGTTTGTAAACCAGGCGTCTTATCACTTCTTCAACAAACTAAAACTAATAACCCTGGTTTACCGTTATGTATCAACAAAGATGCTGTGGTCGGTCTTTTACATTAAGAGCCTGGTGGCGCAGCAGACTAATAGCCTGTTATTAACATCCAGCTGCCTGCAATTAATGCATGTTCGAATCTCCCCAGGCTCAAGGTTGACTCAGCCTTCCATCCTTTCTAAGGTAGGTAAATTGAGGACCCAGTTTGTGGGGGCAATAAGCTGACTTTGTATAAATATACAAAAGTATGAAGGCTATTGCTTAACGCATTGTAAGCCGCCCTGAGTCTCCGGAGAAGGGCGGCATATAAATCAATTTTTTTTAAAAAAAATATGAAACTAGTGTGGGAAAATATTTAAACATAAACATCTTTTTGTCCCAAAGAGAGTATATATGGATACAAACAGTTCTTTTTAATATTTAAACGATCTAGTCTTTTTCTCCTTCAACGTTAAATCAATTGAAAAGAAAAGCTAGAAATATGTTAAATAAGTTTTATTTTATTTCAAGCTATTGTTAAAGAAAATACTGAAATTTTGTAGGATCAATAAAGGCAAAACCAAAGTGATTACTCATGTTAGATTTTCCACATAACACAATTTACCTTCTCCCTATATGATAGTTGAGATAATCTGAAATATATATAATCAACCATTCAGATTATCTGAATCTGGTCACTGTATTATGTATATCAGTTTTTGACACCGATATACTAAAGGTACATGAACGTAATTAACAAGTTTACTGACAAGCTAAAATCTGAGCACTATAATTTAATTCCATAATTCACAATTAACTAGAATTAGAAGAATGTTTCTTAAAAGATTTGGAAGTGATGTGTCTTACAATAAATTTAAAGTATTTATGCAAATTCTAACATCACTGGACCAATTTAATATATTAAGCTATGGACCTAAAGAAATATCTCAAAGAGGCTCAAATCATGGGGCTGGTCTTGAAGAACATCCAGAAGCTCCAGTTGGTGCAAAATGCAGTGGCCTACATGGTTTTGTGCAGACCCCGGTGTGCACATGTATTACCTCTCCTGTGGGAGCTGCATTGGCTGCTGATTTGCTTCCGGGTGCAATTCAAGGTGCTGGTTGTCACCTTTAAAGTCCTTCATGGCTTGGGACCAGGTTATCTGAGGGACCGTCTCTTGCCAGTCACATCTACCCGACCCATCAGAATGGGGAGGCAGGGAATGCTGCAGGTCCCATTCCCAAGGAAGATAGACCTGGTGGGACCCAGAAGGGCCTTCTCCGTGGTGGCTCCCTCTCTGGAATATCATTCCCCCCCGAGATTAGAATGGGCCCCACTCTTAATATTCCACTCTTAATACTCTTCCAGAAGGCTCTGAAAACCTGGTTCTGCCAGCGGGCCTGGGGAACCCAGAGCGGGATAGAACCCATTAAATGGCTCGATCTGCTGTCACCGGGGCGGGGGTGATTTTATTATATTATATAATATATATTATACTATATTAATTTATTTTATTCTTTTAGTTTTATTGTTTTAAATGTGGTTTTATATTCTGTAAATCACCTTGAGTTGCCATGAGCAAATAGGTGGCAATATAAATTCAATAAATAAATAAAATCACATCAACGGATCATATAAGAGTACCACCAATAAATTCATACTTCAATGAATTGTTTTAATCTTTCTGTAACCTACTGCCTCATAGGAAATATGTCAATGCATTGCTACTTAATAAAAACTTGGTGAGGTAATTTACTTGTTACGGACAAATGAGCAAATGAAAAATTACCATCGCTGCATTTGTTCTCATGATATCA